CTGAATATGAGCGACTTTTCTTTAATAATCAGTGAAACAATGAATGAATATATTGTTTCACAATATTAGGAAAATATGCCTTTTTTGTTCCACATCTGTGATTCCAGCAGCTTCTCCTCCAGCAGGAAGCCTCCATCCAGCAGCCAGAGGATGGCATTAGAACATTCATCAGACTCTAAGCAGCAACTCATGACTCTTAAGTCAATAATCCAACAATTAGTGCTTTTTAAATGTTACTCCATTACTTTTGCACGGTGGTGATGGAGATATATTGTGCAGGCGTCTGTTTTTAACCCACGGCGTTGATGCAGATCTGAGGAGGATCAGGTACACGTCTGAGACCAAGTCCTGACTTCGATATTAGAAAGGCCAAACCGGAGGCAGGAAGACATCTTTAATTTGTTGCTTAGGTTTAGATGTCAGTTTGTCTATAGCATAACCATGCTAAGCTAAAGGAGCTAAATACAGACAGGAGGCACCTGATCTGCTGGAGTCACTGGATCAGTAATAAGGCTCTGACAGTGAGATTTTATAAAAGCAATAACTGAGTGCTGCAGGCTGCCACCAACCTCAGCATACAGTAATTTGACAGGTGACTGGATGGAAGAATTTACATAACTATTAGTTTTCAGAGGAGCTTTGAAACGCAGACCAAGGGGCATGAGGGAGAGTTTCCCTTCTAATGAGCGATTCAGTCGGTTTTTATTTCCTTTCTCTGTTCTCCCCTAGAGAGCTCAGGACCTCATGCTGGTCTCACATAAACTCATCAGTACCATCATGAAGGATTTGTCTTGGCAAGCTTTTGAACCAACACGGGAAAGAGAATATTTCATTATTAGAGGGACGTCTGGAGAACTTTTTCTTTTCTGATACAACGCTGTCACTGCAGCTTACTGACCCAAACAAATAATGAGCCTAAAGGGCAGATTAGACCTCTGCAACCGCACACAGCAAATGTCACTTGGGTCTGGGAGAGAACCAGTTTTGCTGGTATGCTTCTGCACCCTCAGTCTGGAACTTCTAGGGACGCACAGCAGTTTCCCGCAAAAGCGCATGATGCAGCCGATTCAAAAACTCCGGAGAACTTCGGCAGCGCCGGCAGGAGTGTTTATCTTCCAAAACAGCAATGGCGCGTCGGCAAGATGTAACGGAGATGGAAGTAGAGTTGCTAGACATCGAAGAGGAACAGGTTCTGTTAGTGTAGTTGGCAAAAAGGCAGATTAACCTTTCGTCATAGTTGTTCCTCAGGCTTTTAAAAATGGCGCACCAAATCGAGAAGGACGACCACACAGACGGCCAAAAAGGCACACCAAGAACCAATCACAGCTGCTTTTTGTCTGCGCAGTTCCGCTTGAGGTCTGCGCGGGTTTGAGACCATCCAACGCGTATCCAGGATTTTTTTTGAGGGGCACAACTACGGTTGCAGAACCTCTGACAGTTGCAGATGCTATTCGTCAGAAGCATAAACTGGCCTTAATGCTACGTTCAGACCACAAGCAGCAGAAGCAGCTGGTTTACAAGCAAAGTCGATGGTTGAGGCGCATCAAGGCGCAGCAAAAGGTCCTGCAGCGCATTCTGAACAGCTGAAGCGGCTCCTCATGAGCTTCTGAGCATCTGACGCGCTGTGAAAGCAGCAGCAGCAGCTAGAGTTGGAAACATTAAACTTTAGCTGCTCGACACGCCGCATCAGAGCAACTGAACTGGGAGCTGGCAGGGAGTCAGACACAGCACTGCTGATGCAGAGCGCTATGATCACTCCACTGAAACAGTTTATTATTGGGAAATTAACTTGAAATGTCGCAACCCACTGGCAAAATATGTTAGTTTTCATTACTTTGGTGCCTTCTGTTTGGATTACAAATGGGGGTGTAAATAATAATGGTTTTGTATCGATACGTTGATCCAACAGCCGACGATCCAATGCATCGATCCAACAGCCTTTAAAGCTAAACCCTTTTTTGCCCTCCTACCGTGTAAGTTAGTTACCTCCGACACTAAACTCTCCTCCTCTTGCATGTTTCCGCTGTCCATAGCGTTCCTTGACAGCGTCGTTTCTAAGTCACCAATTTAGTGCTACTTGGTCCCAATGGAATTTCCCATTGGGAACCTGCCCTAACCCCATTGGGAATGTTCT